TCTCTCTCCTCTTCCATGGAAATTCATTATATATATATATATTGTCTCGTGATGATAGGGTATGATGTTGCTGTCTTAGGGTTATGAATTTCGTGCAACAAGTTAGTACAATATAATTATACAATAATGTTGCCTTCTCCAAAATTTTATTTTATATCTCATAGATTAAAGTATACACACTTATAAATATTGAGAATTGACCGGGATAGGAGGGGTCCGGGGTGTTGTTACCTATGTGCCCACGGGTTCACATATTTTTATTATCACTACTTCATTATATTTTATGTATTTTTTCGGGCTCCTTGCGTGATAAAAATATACGATAAAATATAAGTAAAATTAAGTAAAATACTATTGTCTCGTTACGGTATCATCTGGTCAGGAGTTTTAATCGTTAGATACACATGTAGTTAGTATAAGATAGATAATCCAATAGTCAAAATACTAGACGGGATGGTACCTTAACGGAACCGTAGTATTTTTCTAAAATTACATGCATGCATATAAATTTTGCCATACAACTCAAAATATTCAAGTAAAAAGACTCGTCACAATTTGGTAAAACTACATTTTTTTTTAATATATAAAATCAACAACATGTCAACATTGGCTAGAAACGCAACACGCCAATACATTGTGAAATCAACGCAATTTAATAAATATAACAATCAAACTAATTAACTAAAAATATATAGCAGGTAAAATCAAAATCCAATTCGCTAGTAGGGCTGAGCATGGGACTCGGAAAATTCCGAACCGTTCTGAAAACCAAACCGAAATCACTTCGAATCGAAGAATAACCGTTGACCGTTTGACTTTCTCCGCACCGAACCGAACCGAACCGAAAAAATAATTGGTACGGTTCTGGAGATTTCACAAATATCCGAACCGAGAACCGAACCGAACCGGCTCATACCGTACTGAACCGAAGAACCAAAATTAAGAATCGAATTATAATATTAGATGTGTTATTAATATATTTTATGCCACCTTTGATCCTTTATAATATAGTAATAATAGCTATTAACCTTCACTTAACTTTCATGCTTAGTAATACTAGATCTACAATTGAATTTTTTTATAAAATAATTATTTAAAATAATATGAAAGGTTAAAGAATATTTTTTTAGAAAAAAATATTATATTTTGTTTGAATTTTAAATTTTCAATATTAGTTGCACAGATTTAGTCTTAACTAAAATTTAGAGTTACTTCTAAAGTTGATTTCAAAATAAATTTTTAATATAATGAAGTATTGATGAATGTTAGTTCTAGTAAAACATATAAAAACTAAATAACTAAAATTTAGAGTTTACTTCTAAAATTGATTTCAAAAAAAACTTCAGTATGATGAAGTATTGATGAATGTTGTTTTTTTAAAGCATATAAAAATTAAAATATAACTAGGTAGTCATTCAAAAAAATCTAAAAAACTAAGAAATCTCCGAATATCCGAACCAAACGATACCGACCGTATCGTCCCAATAGTCCCGAATACCGAACCGAACCGAACCAAAAAATAAAAATCTCCAAACCGAACCGAATCGACTTTTTTGTACGGTTCCAGAGATCGAATTTTGGGATCTCCGAACTTTGGTACGGTTCCAAAGATTATCAATCTCCGAACCGTACCGACACACACTCACTCCTATTCGCTAGATGATTTTATTAACAAGATTATTATTACTAAATTTTGCAATTAGCAATTGATATAATAGTCAAATAACATGCTGATGAAACAGTGGTTCAAAGTTTTTCTAAAAAAACTAAATAAAATCAAAAGAAACAGAATATACGGCACGGGCGTATGACTTGAGAAAAATAGGGGCGCAAAACATGTTACTCTTACAAATGTTCATTGATTCATACTAAATCTATAACTATAGATATATAGAATTGAATCAAATAAGAAAGGAAGATAGTGAAAAAAATAAAAGTTAATATGGATTATGGGATCAATCATATAAATGGTTATGATGGAGTCAAACTATGGTTAGTCATTACTGTCAATCTTGTAATTATTTGGTCATATTGTGGTCAACCATGTGTATTTGACCAATAATTAAGAGTAAGTTAGTCAATACACATCAGGTGGGACCCCCTCACCAAATCACTTCACCACACCTTTTCTCTCTCCTTCTCATCCTCACGCACTGAACACACACACACGCATAACACACAAACAAACACACACACACACACACACACAAACACATACACGTGTGTGCACGCACAGAGTTACGACAGGCCGACCACCAGTCCGCCATATCGCCGTTGCCTTCCGCCAACAGCCATCCGTTTTGCGCTCACCTTCTGGCCACCGGAGCTTCTCCACGCAGCCGCCTTTCCGTCTGTACCTGCATAACCTCCGCCATCCAACGTTTGCAACCAGTCGCTGCCGCCACCAGTCATGTTGCTAACAAGAACCAAGTCGTCGCCAGTCAACCACAGCAAAACAGTCGGACATGCGAGACACACCGGCGCAGTCGCAGACGCTGGCGGCGAGACAAACCACCCCAGTAGCGTCGACTCTCTCTCGTCGCCACTCAGACGCTGCCTCCACAGCCCCACCACTCCCGTCGTCGACGAGAATGCAGTAAAAAAATCTAAAGTTCTAGCAGCATGAAGATCCGCCGAAGATTGGGGAGACGACAAACGCCGACGTCGACTGTATGAAGATGGGGGAGACGAATAGGAGCAAATAATTAGGTGTGCCAAGGCCTTTGTGTAATAAAATTTCTTAAAAAAGCGCATGAGGGAAGGTTTTTTTTTTTTTAAATGGGACATGTGTCCCATATTGGATAATATATTTTATATATCATATTATATAAATTAAATTATCATTCACATTTTATATTAAAAAATAAAAATAAAAATACCAAAATTCATAATTTTTCATTCTCTACAAATAGAGACCACATCTGATAGGTTTTAGAATGAAAAATTATAAATTTTGGTATTTTTATTTTTTATTTTAATATAAATCATTAATGATATTTTAATTTATCTAATATGTCTCATTTTCAATTAAAAAAAAGGAAAGTAGCATGTGT